ACTGATTTTGATAGCGACGATGATTACGATTATTATACGCGAAATAAAAAATACGTAAAGAGTCGCGTACAGCATCAAATAAGAATCAAAACCTAATAAAAATTCAACCGTGTCAACGTATTCAAGCAAGTGTCGTCCATGAAGTACGTCCTAAGAGCGATGTTTTTTTCTTCCCTCGTTTTTATTTTTTCTCAACTATTTTTCTTATAATTTGTTTTTTCTCCTTTGTGAAAAGCAGAACGGTTTATAGAAAACGATTACAAATATGTTGATACATCATCAAGATTAAAACAAATGTTGAAAGATATAGAAAATCAATCAGAAATATCGGTCGATAGTGAGGTAATTAAACAATGGCTTTTTCCTTTCATTTAACCAATAAAAAATTTAAATATTCGTTTTTTCTTGGTTTTTTAGCGTCATACATACAGAAGCTACAAAAGATATACGTGTCTGCTGCAAATATCAACCAGAACAACTGATTATATTGTTGATCCATTGCCGTTGAAAAGTGAGTTACATGCCCTGGATAATGTGTTTACAAATGCAAAAGTTGTTAAAATTCTTCACGATGCTGCTTTCGATGTTGAATGGTTACAAAACGACTTTGGTCTCTACGTCGTTAATATCTTTGATACATTTCAAGCGTCGAGAGAATTAAATTTGTCATCACTTATCTTTTGAAACATTATTGTGATGTTGATGCTAACAAAGAATATCAAAGAGCTGATTGGCGACGTCGGTAAGAAAAGCAAAGCGCACACTATTTCCTGGATTATCTTTAGTCTCTTTTTAAGATCGCTTTCTTAACTTTTTTTTTACTAGTCCATTACCATATAATCTATTATGCAATGTCATTCATCGCGCATAACAATCTGACGCAAACCTCTTTAATTAAATACAGGGAGCACTCTGGTAGATCTTGGAACCGCGACCTACTCGTTCAAAAACTGATAAGGTATACCACCTGCAGGTGGTATTTTCTGAGATATTTTATGTCAACTGGTAGCCTCTATGCAATGCTGCAAATCGCAAGTCTTCGAAGTGCATCGTTCAAAAGTTATTAAAGAAAGCCATCGGCATTCTTTTTTAATAATAGGTGGAACGAGATAAACTACGCCGGCAGCAAGAAATACGCAGCACATTGTGTTACCCAGTTTGAAATGATAAGTGCAATAGATATTATCCTTGTAACCTGCTGTAAGGATATTCTCCATGTTTAGTTAGCTTTTATTACTTTATATACAAAGAAAATCACAAAAAGATGACCTTTTTTTACGAATAACAACCTAAACACAAACAAAAGAAATTTAATCTTTCTATTTATCGAAATTGCATGACTTCAACAATCAGTATTATGCTGACATAATGTGGAAACGTTTGGTTTTATTTCTTTGGCTACTTACGAAAGAAGAAACTACGTTACATATGTATATAAAGCTATCTTCTTTTCTTCTTCTCTCCTTTTGGAAGCGATCGTATGCGATCTCCAAAAGAAAAAGAGAAGAATAGAAGATAAAGGAGGGGGCCGCATAAGATCGGGAATCGGCCCACTCTCTTTTTTGACTAAAAATGGATCCAAATGTAGTAAAAAAAGTGCCTCTATTCCGTTTTCGATAAAATCAGATACTTTTGCCACGTAAAACCCGGTTAATTCCTGAACAATAGCATCTCAATAAGCACCGTTAAAAAGCCACCATATGATCAGTACAACAGATTTTCCTCAGCTACCTTACACTGAAATGGCAAACTAAACACAGCGTTAGATAGCCC